TGAGAAACTACCCATTGGTAGCACTCTAAATTAATTAAAATTAAAGTCTTACCGTCAGAGAAATAATCTGTCAGGACTTAATTGCCGAAAACTTTAAAAATGGCCTCCTTTAAAGTACCTATCTCCCATTGTTAACAGGAATAAAAAATGGACAAATATAAATTATGAAAGAATTTGTAATTAATAAAGATTGAAAAACAGGTCGTTTTGTTTATTCGCTTTATTTTACGTCGGAAAAGTTTGCTAGTTTTGTACGGCCCTCCACACGAGGTTATGTTACAGCTTATAAAAAACTCATAATTTTTGGACTTTTTCAGTTTCCAAAACTGTGCATTTCAGTGAAAACGTATTTATTTCAAGATCGAAATGAGATTAAATTCTGCATCGAATACATACATTGTAAATTCGGGATCAGAAATATGGTCGAAATCAGACGGTCAAAAGCGACTATTTTTAGCAACTTTGTCAAGATATCTAATATGGTCCGTTACAAACCTATGTATCATGGAAACTGTTATTATAAACTGTAAATATTTCAAACCAAATTATAAAGAATTGGATTTAATATTTAGGAAGTATTTTATATATTGAGTCCTAATAAGAGGTAACATTTGTACGATTCACTCATATCAAGCCACTCAGATTATCTCCCTAGCATTCTTATCATTAAAATTTTAGCCTGCATACTAGTTGAGCTAAAAATTTGAAAATTCGTAAACTAATAGATTTTAGCCTGCAACCGAAGGAAAAAGTGAACATTTCTTTCCTTTTTAAATTTCTTTATTGAGTATTATAACAATCTGTCTGTTGGACATTGGTTATAGTGAGGTAGGATGACATTCACACCATATGTACAAAAAAATAAAATAAATAGAACAAAATAATAATCAAAAGTATATACAATAGACAATAAAATAAAATAACCTAAAAAATAAGAAAATTAAAACTAAGAAAAAAAAAACAAAAAAAAAACACATGCATACCTATATACAATCAGCGAGGGAACTCCAGGAGAACCCTGCGCTACTCTCCCAACCGCGTCACTGGTACTAAAGCCAGCGGAGATTGGTCGAGAGCACTTTAGCCACATACACACATGTCTTGAGTGAAGAATCTGGCCATTGCCAGAACTCCAATTTATACAATCTACAAAAGGTCGCGAGGCCACTGCCGTTTCAACCTTCTTGGAGGATTATAGGGATGGGAGATACTTGATAGGGATTGTGCAAGAGGATTTGGGTGGTAAGTAAGGTTCTGGTGAAATTTGGAGAATTTTTCATTCATTTTGGAGAATACATGATGTAGGGTTTTGTTGGATACATAGAAAGGAGCATCGACTATTGTTCGAAGGACTTTAGACTGGAAGGATTGGATGCGCTTGATGTTAGAAAATTTTGCTGATCCCCACAGTTCTAGTCCGTAAGTCCAAATAGGTTTCAGTATTGTCTTGTAGATCAGTAGCTTGTTTTCAATGGAAAGTTTAGATTTTCTGCTCAGTAGTCGGTATAGTTGGCCGTATCGTCGGTTGAGTTCTTGTCTTTTGAGTCTAGTATGCGGGTTCCAAGTTAGTCTTCGGTCTAAATGAAAGCCAAGATACCGGACTGTGTCTGATAAGGAAGCTGGATGGAATTAAAGAGTACTGGTGGACAGGAATTGCGTCGGAGTGTAAAGGTAATATGTTGGCATTTAGATTCATTAACTTTAATGCGCCAGTTATTACACCAGTGCTCAATCAAGGTGAGGTGACTTTGGAGATTTAAGGATGCTATTTCGGGATCAGAGTTGGATGATAAGATTGCGGTGTCGTCAGCGAATGTTGCAAGAAAATTATCGGGATGAACAGGGATGTCAGCAGTAAAGAGGATGTAAAGCACGGGACCCAAGACGCTGCCTTGGGGAACACCGGCTTTAACGGAGTAGATATTGGAAAATTCTGTTCCACAGCGAACTCGAAAGGAGCGGTCAGAGAGGTAGGATCGGAGGACTAGGTACAAGGACTGAGGTAAATGGATTTTAAGCTTGGAGAGCAGTCCGGAGTGCCATACCCGGTCAAATGCCTGTGCAATGTCCAGAAAGGCACCCGAACAGTATTCCTTGTTTTCTAGGGCTGAGGAAATATGATCAACAACTAGATTTCTTTCCTAAAAAAAAAAATAAATAAATAAAAATCAAATTGGCCGTTTCAACATAAAAATTGGTAAGAACTATATATTTTCCATGTTTAGTCGTATCCTCTAGCTGTTATAAATTACGTGGAGCTAGACTTTTAGATCCTGAGAAATTATTCTTTGTAGATTCAAAAAGATGTTTCTTAGAAAAAAACTTTATTCTTTTAGCAATTGAATTCTGCGTAGAATCAGTAATTAATTGGCTCTAAAATATGGTCGGTACACAATTTTTAAAAATATTCTTACACCCATAAGTATGAATATGTAGCATGGAGACGGTTTTAAATTTTTTTAAAAAACATATAGAATAGAAGTTGTTAAGCATATAAGTTTATATTCAGGGAGTACCAAATATTTCGAGTTTGGCCAAAAATACATATAGATGTTCGACATTTATATTTTTAATTATAAACAAATAGATTACCTACAATTGTACATCTATTGTTGACTTCAACATTGAAGAAATAAATATTTTTATTACTTAATAAAAAAAAATTCTATTAATTAGACTATAAAAGGAAACTTATTGTTAAAGACTGATCTTCTTTTGACTTGATTTCCGCTTCTATTTCAAATTATTGTGAAAAGATTTTAATATTTTTATACAAATCTAATTAATTATACTAGAATTATTTAAAAACAATTCTAATAAAATGTTTTTAAAATTTACAATAGGAATGATCTATGAAATATAATTGTTTAAATAATATATATAATCAAAAATAATTAATGCTTTTTTACTATGCCATTGGGAATTTTTAAAAACATTTATATACTTGGATACTCAAATTAAGAATATAATAATACTGAAAGTAAGAATATAATATTTTCACTATTCATATGACAACCAGATAAAAATAAAATTGAAAAAAATTAACATTATAAATTTTAAATAAACATATAAAAACTTATTTCAAAATTATAATCTTAACGAATAATTTGTTAGAATCATTATCCTATTAAACATATATTTCTATTCATCATAGTCAATCTTTAATTACTAATAACGTTATTTATGTATCCGGTTTATAACGTTACATATATCTATAATTTTGGGGTAGTCTTTATTTCACACCACTTATGATTGGTTGCGATAATTATCGCTGACTAACCGAAGTATACACCAATGTGTTTTTCCTTCCTAATTTCGAATATTCTTCGAATGGTCGAAGGAGAAAGGATCAGTTGCCATTGTCACATTCATCCTTCTTTTATTTCCTTTTGTTTTTCCTTGAAAATCTTATCGCTTTGGCCTAAACTGATCAAGGTCAACCTTAATTAATGGACTGGCTTCTGTCATATTAATTACCGGTATTTCAAGTTGTTTCTGTCTTATTTTAGGCATACCTACAAGTTTTTAAATATTTATTTCTACTTAATTATAATAATTAAAAATATGCATTATCTGCCCAGACGGTGTGGTATGTGGCGTCGTTGTTGCAATTTTATTTTATTTATTTTTTGGTGGAGGATAGGAGACTGAACATATCATTTTTCAACAATATCAATAGTTGAAACATACTCATTCAACCACTGTTGGACGAAACAAATAACCAGAATATTAATTTAACAAAGTTTAATGTAGTTATCTGCTTACAAATATTTTAATTTTCCCAACTTTATTTCACTTTCACTTAGGTATATAAGTAATATTACTATATATATATTACGTATATAAGTAATATAGTAAGTATTGCGATCGAGAAAATTTTTGAATTTAAGTTTTCAACGGAAATAGAACTTTTGGAGTACCCTGAGTCCAAATAACCAAGTCTCGAAAAATGGTCTGTGTGTCTGAATGTGAGCAGTCTAGCTCAAAAATGATAAGTCGTGCGAAATTGATATTACGTATTTAAGATAGGTATGTGCCTTAGATGTGACAGTAACTTTCCCCTTAAAATCGGCTTACCGGAAGTTCCACTTTATATAAAAGCTGAAACACATTTTTACAATTTTCTCAAAAATGGCTCAAAGGATTTTGATTAAACTCGGAGCGTCAGCGTATAATTAAATGGTCTTTAATATCAATCAGGTCTTATCTCCATTATCACTTTACAGGGCTTAAATGTCCAATGGTCATATGCGTCTTCCTCTAAAGTACCTTTAATATGGTTTATTTTAAATAATTAACTATCTCTCATTATTAAGAGTTACGAAAAAATGGTAAATATAACTTTTGAAAATCCACCTAATCAAGATAATGACATTGTTTAAAAACTATTTCATTGTACTTGTATAAAAGAAGAAGTAAAATATAAAATTATTTCACGGATATATAAAGTATATGTTTTTAACCTTAAATACAGTTATTGCATTTAAGCCCCTCTGTAATTCTCCATATAATTATTAATTATATTAATGTTTCCATATAAAACCTATTCAGATTTCCAAGCTATTTAGAATTCTATTTTTGTATTTTATAATCCTCGATTAGGTCCACTTTTATGACTTTCGTGGTGACTGAAATGTGTGAATGACAAAAATGATAATTACATATTCTATTTATATATTCCATATTAATATAAATAGAATTAACATAATTTTTTTAACAGTTTCTGAATTAATCATATTCTTAGGCAAACCGTTCAACCATGATTGTGAAAATACACTCCAAACATTTGCTCCATAACATAAAATAGGCCTAATAATTGTATAATAACGATTGTGTAATAAAAGTTAATGAACTTAGTTCTTAGAATATAAAATTTACCAATTATACCAATAACAAAATTCACAAATCAGAAACTAGTGACGTGAAAATTTTAACACTTTAAAGCGATTAGCATTTCAGCAGATTGTTTTTTATATATCATTAATTACATTTTGTTTTAGTTGGTGTTCGCCCTCACAGAAGATGAATGCACAGTGACCCCAGATCAAGTGGTAACTATAAATAAATCTATTTTCCAAATAAACTTCCTAAGCTATGACCTATGTTTCTGTATGTCGGAGGTAAACATCCTAAGGGAAATATAGAAAGTTAACAGAACAGTTAAACATTTTTCAAGATTATTTGGGATTTAAGTATAATCGAATGAAAATGTTAAGGAAGATAGATGCTTCCATCAACATGTTTTCTCATTTTTCCCGTCACGCAGTGCAACATTTAAGGGACAGGTTGTTTTTATTATCATAAATCACTATTGCTATAAATTTATTATGTTCTTCAATTTAAAATAAATTACATATTAGTTTAAATTATATCAATACAAACTTAACAAATGAGTTTTGATATTTATTTCAGCCAGTTTGCTGTAAGGAGCCAAAAGCGAAAGAAGAAGTCAAGGAAGATAAGACCCGTGAAGAGTTGGGAAAGAAATGTGTAGAGAACAATGCCAAGGGAAAAAAAGGTTAGTTGTTAATTTTTGTGGTAAAATAAATTAACTTTCCAAACAATCAACGTTCTTCTTCGGTCTTCCCTCAAATGGTTAGTTCTGATTAAAACAGATTAAGACTTTGAACTAGATGTTCTTCCTGAGATCCCCCACACATACGTTGGAGATGATCATTATGTCGGTGGGGTTTGGCAAGATCTGCTTCCTGGTGTTCTCCAATTCAACGCATGTAGAAGAATGTGTTCTGTGTTTTGGTCTTCTAATCTACATAGAGGGCTTTCTCCGATGTTTATTTTCTCATAAAAGTGTGTTCTCATCCTGTTATGACCCGGCCTGAGTCTAAACGATTTATTCTGAATAAATTTGGTTTTATTTTCTTTATTACAAGAGCCAATGAAAATTCGCCAAATCTAACTCTTCTCTTTTACTTTCCTACCATTATTAGGTATAGGATGTATTAGAATTGGCTAAAATTTTAATTGCGGTTTTCAACAGATCTTTACGTTTCAGAGACACCATGATCCGAAAAACCCATTCCCATCCACTGATCTATTTGTCTATATATGTGTGTGTGTCTCTCCCACGATTATATCTGGAACGGGTGAACTGATTTTGTTTCTTATATTTTTTTTTTTAGTGTTTCAGTCACCAATGCCCGAGACCCAAATCGGGTGTTCCCAGCGCTATTGGAGGAAAACGTTTTTCCATAGACTTTTTTGTAGCCGAATAGCTCGAACAATATCGTTGAAACTTGTCTGTGGTCTAATATTTCCTAATATACAAGGACAACCACACTAGTGTAAAAGGGCTTAATAAAAATAAAATAAAATAAATAATAATACAATCTGCCATAGAAACCGGCTGAAAATATTACACTTGAATACCAAAAATGCTTTGTGGGAAAAAGGCTGCAATCATTTGTTTGCTATTCGGTCAAATTTCTTAATTGGGTCATGCAGAGAGGGCTGAATTTATGAAAGTTATAAATTTACCGGAAATAAATAGCCCAAATACTTTGACTCAAGTAGACCATTGAACGGGTCGTATGTTTCAAGTTCTGAAAATACTGAGACTAAATGCCTGTCTCTGACTTTTGTGAACTGTCCGAAGCTTTTCTTCGCACAAAAGAGGTCATTGAATTCTTATATCTTGGTCTTCTAAATTTTTAGATATTTTCAAAACCTTTCTTTTTTCTACAGAGGTCAGAGTGGAACCTATATTTTATTTAACAGTAAAATTGTTGAGAGGATCATACATTTTTCTAACGCTGCCATTTCGAAAGTCCAAATGCAGTTTAAAAGTTAAAATCGGAATTGATTTTAGATTATTTTTTGTTTGCACACCATACGTACCATTGGCTAAAACATCTTTCACGTTTATGTTACTACTAATCGTTTACTTTTTTACTATTTCCATTATTAATTCTTTTGTTAACCCGTTTAGTTCTATGATTTTTTTTTTTTCGTCTGTAGCCAAAATTTGAATCTTTAATTTGTTACATCCAGTATGCTGTCTTCAGCTTTCGAATAAAATGGCGTTTGAGGATATATTTAACCTAATTTTTATTGAATTCTTCTATGTTTTAATTTTCGACAAAACGACTAAGCACAGTAATGTTAGTCGCGCCGGTCAATCGAACGATTTCAGTATTTAATATTCGTAAAGCGTTTTTTTCATTATTTGCAACGCTACACGTGGTATTTAATTTTACTTACAAAAGTAATTAAATTTTATAATAGATAAATTTATACTGGTTTAAATTGGTCTTAAATTGGGTAAAAAGTCGTGCGAGAGAACACACATATTTTTTTAATTGTCCTTAATTAGTCTAATTTTCATTTCTTTTCTTCTTTTACATGTAATTTTAAAAGAAGTTTATCTGAATTTTAAAAAGATTTTCATAAAAAAATTAATAAAACAATATCACTATGCCTTAAGACGGTATTTTATTAAATGAGGAGCATATTGGAATAATAAATGAAGTTTATTTTACATATATAAATTGATATAGTAAGACTTTCACCTGCGTTTTGTTACAGCTAATACTGATGAAGAAGAATTTCAAATTGCTGAGTGTGTTGATGAATGCATCTTTAGGGACGTTTTCGGCTATGTGGTAAGAATATTCGAACCAATAACACTTAAAAATTAAAATGCAAGTAAAGATTACAATTAAAAATACCTAGCTTCCCTACCTTCGGTAGTGAGGAAGGAAAAAAAAATGGAGTTGAAATAGTTTGTTATAATTTCTAGAACAAGAAAACAAACAAGCTCGACGAAACTGCCATTGTGAACACTTTTACCAAGCGTTTCGACGGTAACAGCAAATGGAAGGAAGCCACACAGAAAGTAGCCAAATCCTGCCTTGGAGAGAGCGGTAAGTCCTTAATTGAGTTACAGAAATTCTATTTACTTATATTATTTCTTTAATTTTAATCATTATAAATTTTATGGCAGGTAAAGATATAAAAGCCTCATCCAAGTGCAAGAGCGGTGCTCTTCAGTTCCTCAGATGTTACACAAGAGGAGTCTTTTTGGTCAGTATTTATTTTTAAGAAATCTATCTATATTAACAAAAACTACTCATAACTCCTTTTCTTTAAATAGCCTTAAATATTTTCATAGAGGCCGTGATGGCTGATTGTTATGTTAAAGTTATCCCTTAAAACAGTGCTGTGCCACGACATAGACTCGGAAGTATTATCATTGTGTATATTAAAATCTTAAGACGAATCGAAAGGTTTGCGGAAGATAAAAGATGATTTCTGTCTTGCAGTTTTAATTTTTTTTTAAAAAGTGTTTTGGAAATCTTCATTGTCTACGGAAAGTAACTCCTACATGACAATTATGTTGAGTCAGTTCATTTTCGGAGTTTTTAATTATAACTTCAATGGTAGTTTCTTCTTTCTTTTTTGGAACGAAAAAACAATGATATTTTGTCAGAATTAACCACAACGTTTAATTTACTCAGTCATCGATTATTTTATGGGCTTCATGTAATTGCTTCATAGCCTTCCTAATGTTTAAACTGCAATTTGTGACAACTATATTATCAGAAAAAGCTATTACTCGGTGCTTAGTCCAAAAAAGTTTTCCTGTATTTATATGTAAACAGTACTGGTGATAGTGACGCACCTTGCGGGACTCCGCTGTGAGATTTTTGGGACAATAAATCGGCAACTTTTACTAATACAATCGGCCGCACAAAAAATATGGAATTATCGCTTGTAATTGTTCAGGACACCTAAGGTTGGTAAGTTATTGGCATAGAAGTACATTAACACGGAGTCAAATGTTTTGGAATAGTCTAGAGCTATCGTAAAAGTGGTCTTGTTTCTGTTGAATCGGATATCTATTTCTAGTGCCTAAGCCAGTACTTTCTAGTGCCTAAGCCAGTTTGTTGTGGTGATATTATTTCATTTTATTTAAGAAACTTTCCTAGGCAATTAACGATTAGCTACTATTTTTATGGAATCTTTCTTTTATATACATATAGTACAAAGAGATTAGTAACTACTAAGAAATCAATTATTCGGGTTTAAACTATATTAATTATCCACAAATTTATGGAAGATAAATATAAAAATAATTTGTCAATTTAAATATCTGAAGGAGAGAATCGAAGATAGAGGAGTACTGACCCATTCCTCTTTGTTTGAATATTAGGTGCTTTTTTGGGCATATTCGAGTGTACAAATCAATAACTAATATATAAATACTTTTACATCAAGCTGAAAGTTGCTATTTATTCCTATTCCTCCGCCAGAGGCATTAACAAAATATTGGAAGGGTGTTGAAGGTTAGAACGCCCATTCATATAGTAGCAGCCCAGTAATAACTTTCAGAGTTATTTTTAAGTAAAAATTGTGAAAAATTATAAAGCCCCAGAAACTCTTTTTATATCACTCGATTAATTATTTTTGAGCACTTTTTAATGATTTTATTACAATGTCGTCTAATTTTGCCTACTTTTTTTTCAGAACTGCCCTGCTGAATCATGGGAAAACAGTAAGTTAAATAAAATATTTAGATCTTCAAAAAATAATTCACTCTATTCACTATAAACAATCTGATATAAATGTTTTTTTCAATTTACAGCTGATGCCTGCAACAAACTCAAAGTTCTGGTTCAAAAATGCCCTAATGTCTACACCATTCTGCAAAACTGAAGAGACTTGTCTAATTATTTCAAATTGCAATAAAATAAATTAGTATTACATTAAAGTATTTCTGAATAAAAAAATCCTACAGTCAAAATGTAATAAACAGTTACAAAAAAAAAAAAAAAAGATATATATATATATATGTATATATATATATATATATATATATATATATATATATATATATATTATATATATATATATATATATATATATATATTGGGTTTATGGTTGACTATAGTGAATAGCTGAAGAGAAGGATGGTTGGGTTCAATTTGACGACTATTTTATCACCAAACGTTTTACAAGGGGATGATGTGGTCAACGATCATCATGTAGTTCTCTCTCCGAAAAATTGACATGAAGTTCATATGTAAGGTATCAGTCACACACTGGAACTCTTGTTGGTATCCTTCTGAACTGCCTGTTATAACTGGAAGTTCTAAATGAAGTTCCTAGCTGAACATACCTCCCTGAAGAAGACCTGCAAAGTCGGGTCGAAATGTTGGCTTTTAATAAAATAGTTTTGCCACTAGTCAGTCAAAATATAAAAATATTTCATTGATATGTTTATAACCTCGAATATATTTACTATAGAGTATTAACTCTAAATAAGAAATTATATTTAAATAATTAGGTATCTATCAGCCGGTTATTTCAAAAAATCATCAAATAACCTTTTAGAAAATTAAATTAGTGTATAATTTGATGAATTTTTCCTTTGTAAAATCCCAACATTATCTACTTACAATTAATGTGACAACTTTTGACCTATCCATTGGCAAGGCAATGAAAATCTCGTAATTTTGTTTTAGTAAATTTTACAATGGAAAATAACAGTTTTTTTTTTGGGTCCTTCCCTTCCTCGCATTTAAGGCTATACGGGATTTTCCCGGGCCAGGGAATGTGGGCCGGGGATTTAAAAGACTCCTCCGGCACCGGGACCCGAACTCGTGACTGTTTATATATCTTTGATTCATATGTCAGGTTGCCGGGCAACGGCGGTGCAGTGCACACGCTTTAGCCCATTCGGCCACCCCGCCCACTCCAAAAATAATAGATTAATAACTCAAAGTCCTATGATCCATAATCATTTATAGGTTAAATATTCAGATATACTTTCAAACCTCTTTAGGCATATATGAGCCTTTCGGTTTACAGAATGGCTAACCCCAATTTCAATATTCTTTATTATGAATTTTAGTGATGTTTCTAGTGGCCAAATGTATACCTTTATTCACAGTTCTATATTTTAACACTGCAATCACCTACTCTGGAATCAACTTACTCACTGTCTGTATAGATAACTTTTTCAACTAGAAATATCATTAAAATGGCATTACTAAAAAATGTTGAAATTGGAGTGAGTCATTCTGTCAACTGAATGGCTCAGAGACTGAAGTTGTGTGGTTTATAAAAGTAGATGGAGTGGCTAGATTTTTATTGCAGACCGTCGATACTATAAATAGATTTTTATAATTATAATGGCCGTATTTATGGATTTTTTATATGTAAGCTTTAAGCCTTAACTCCAAACATTTTATAATAGCCCAGCATTGCCAGAAAATAATTTCTATTCCAAGTAAAGCGGTAGGTGAAAGTTGTGTGTTGCGCGCACCGGATTTTTTAATTTCTAACAAAGGGTGAGGTCCCTGAAGATCGACGGCACCCCAACAGGCGCCCCGGGACAAATGCGCCGATTGCCCCGCCGCAAGGCCCACATTCATTATGTAAATACTTTCTATTTAAAAAGAAAATACTTATCATTACTTAGCATTTCGTAAGGTTTTAATATCTTAGGATGTTTGTCAATCTTGAAATTCCCTAGAATTGCATTTATTTACATCTTAAGACTTGGTTCAATTGTTAATAAAATCCCCTATGAATAACATAAATGTACATAACAAAACTATGTATACCTAATACTCAAAAAGATAATAAAAGAGGACTTTAAATAAATAGAAAATAAGATTCTAAAATAAATTTTTAAAAGTAATAGGAATTGTTTTCTGAGATACTGTAAACTAGTCCGTGGTACAGACCACTATTTATCAAATTATTAACATATGGTTGAAACTTCGTAAATAGCTTCTTCTCATCGTGACCTACAAATATTTTATTTACGAAAATTTTCAGAGCCTAAAAAAATATTGTGGCTTTGGTCTGTATAACCTCGTTATTTTAACAATTTGGGAGCCAAACGGCTCAATATTTTTGAAGGCCACTTTTCCCCATAAATGAATGGGCACCACTGTATAAGGCATCATAGAAATAATGGTACATTTCAGATGATGTATTGAAAAAAATGTCATTTTTGATTTTATTCTAATTAATATTTAACTTGATTATATATTATATAATAATGCACTTTAATTCGCCACACTACTATTTTTTTTTTTAATTCTTAATAATAATAAGCGTGGAATGAAAAGCACTTGTAGATGCTCTTTGCTCCAACAGTAGTCAATGGTGATAATAATAACAGAAAAAAATACAGGCAATTTAGAGAAAAGTTAAATTAATTTAAGGCATTGGGTAAACTGAAAATTTCAAGCTTATTATTTAGCAGTGAACTTGTTACTAAAAGTTCTATAAATTATTATTTTTCTTTCATTAAGGGATGGTCATGCTTTTTTATTCTCTTACGGAAAAGATTTTCTACCTTGTTCCCATGAAAAATTGTTGGAATAATGAAAAAAATAAATAAATTCATTCAATAAAACAAATAATTCTGGCCTGCCCCCCCTCCAAATGGTAAAAAATAACCATATTTTATGAAAAAAAATTATCTCTAAAAGTATTATTGTTTGTTCTAATTACATTTAATAGGACTTAATGAATCACTTAAACACCATTTCATTTAGGTACTTAGTTTCTATCTTTCTTCTGAAGTAATTATCTTAATAAATACATAAAAAAAAAATCTTTTGGGCTCAAGCTCCCCCCAAAATTAAATGATAAAAAACTGGTATGGTGCGCACATCACACAACTTTCACTTACCAACAAATTCAATGTGAAAACGATGGTATAACTTTATTCAAAACAATTGATTACCATGTTTTTCCCGCCCATCGAATCTGTTAAATTTAAAGGCTTGCTTAAATTTCCATTTCCTTATAAAACTGTGTATAGTATCAAACAATTATAAAGATTGTGGAGAAAAATGGATTTTTGGCAAAATTCTGAGTTCTATTGGAAACATATATTATGTAACTCGTTAAAAAAATAACTTAATGTTTGTAAATATTGTATATTATTAAGTTTATATTGGTAGGTCCTCAACATTTTGAGTGAAAACCTTTTTAAAAAACTCTAGATAAGTGATATATAAAAGTTAAATTAACAATATAAAAGCCCTGGACAGAGGGGTATTGGGTATCTGTAAAGGGAGAGGATAGGCAAAAGTTGGGCACTCTCAGCTATTTCCGTCTAGCTTCCAACCCTTATTTCTTCTTTAGTTTCCAATAAATTTTCTTCATATATTATAGTTAACCATTTTTTATATCAGTTGGTAATGGAAAATGGTTAATTATTTCACACAAATAAATTAAAGGAACTTAGAGAAAGAAATTTTGAAAATTAGTTTAGAGAATATCAATAAGAATCAGAACTACATTATATTAAAAACTGCTTAAATTTACACTAATATCATCAATTTAACGAAAATCATTAAAGCATTTTTTGAGAAAATTCTATAGACCATTTTGTGGGACTTAGTTATTTGGACTCAGGGGACCTCTAAACATGTATTTCCGTTGAAAACTCAAATTAGAAAATTTTTAAAATTGCAGTACTTTCCCTTACTACATATCACAATTATTGGTAAGTGAAAGTCATTTTTAATATCAGAGAAGTATAATAATGATGAAATTGTAAGGCTTACACAAAAAGTTGTGTTGCTGTATGCATGACCTATAAAATATTTCAATTAAAATTCCTACATCACTCTTTCCTATCCTTTAAACTGCAATTTTAAGTATATTAATATAATAAAAATAATAAAACAATCTTTTGAACATTAACAACAGTGGGGGTGTATGGACAAGATATATAGGAACTTCAGTATGTGGGAGGCAACTGAGGAAATAAACTATCAGAGATTACTAATAGAGGTGTTTAGAGCATATAAGATTGATTAATAGAAACATATTTACATATTTTAATGTATATCTTGTAAACAAATCAATATTTGTTACATAAATATTACAAAATAAAATAATTTAGTATACAAATATTAGAAAAAAAAAAACCATTTCAACTTAAAGAATGTTTGAAATTCTTGTTTCTTCTTCCAGAAAAGTTAAAATTAAATTAAAAATAAAATATATCATTTATCTTGTTCTGTCATCTTCTGAGTTTAACATCACTTCTTTTTTAAGTTTTATATATTCTTTTTCCATGAGTTCTCTTGTCCTTTCTGTCAAGTCATTTATATCTGTTTCATTTAGGCCCACTGTGTCTATAGGTTCCAACAATGAAATTATAATTTTTCCTAAAATGAAATTAGATTAATTTATTAGCAGTTATGAAGTTCATGATACTAGGAATATAGTTTTATGTTCTAGATGAATATAAAAATGAAATAGAATGCAAAAATATGAGGTAAATCTGTTATTTTCATAAAAAAAAAAAAAAAAATGAAATGTAGAATTCCGTAAGTAATCAAATGCTATTTTAATTTTTTTTTATTTAATTAAAAATAAATTGTTGGTACTAGGTTAAAATAATTTCTTTCAGGTAAAATTAACCTTTTTTTAATTAGATTTTTTTTAAATAATGATAATCTAGAAATAACTTTAGCTAATGATAAACTCTAGATAATCTCTGGCAAACCTTGCCGTTAATTATGAAAAGAAATAAAGTTGACTGGTTTTAGAAATTCATGTTTTGGAGATTGGAATTTTTTACAGCATGTAATATCATGAGAGACAAAATAAGTTAAAAAAAATCATAGACGACTCTCATTAGGTAGCAATATTTTTCGCATTAGAACTTACAGAACCGCATAAGTCTCTATTACTGAATCCATGTCCTAGGTATCTATCATAAATATGTTTAAATATTATCAGTTTCATAACTTTTCACATAGTCTCTTTTGTGATATTCAATTTCATTTGTATAGGGATATTTGTATTTCTCCGAAACATGGTTAAATGAAAGGAAGTGGAGCTGGGAGGCCCCAAAGTGACAATGCTTCATTATCCTGTACGTGTCCTATCCGTGTGGCATACATTGACATGAGTAGGCTGTCAAGGTGTCAAGAGAATCCACTGTTTAATAACTAAGAAAACCTGCTTATATCTGCGAACACCAATAAGATTGGCCACCTAAATAAAAAATGGCAACCGTGTGGAAAGAAATATATTATTTTTTAATGAGAATTCATCAACAAAGTGACCAGTGCAACTTAACTACTTGAAATGGATTGACACAGCTACTAAATATACTTCTCCAGAGTTGATTGCTCTGATTAAATTGTATATTCTACTATTTTGAAAATTTTTAAATCAAAGGAATTATCCTTGCCAGAATACAAGCACCATTATATAAGATTAGAAGAGAGAGACTTAAAAATACATACCTCCAGTAAATTTTCCTGGTTTTATGAAGTAATATGGTGATATGACAACTGGTATTATTGGTCTCTTAAATTCTACAGCAATTCTAAAAGCTCCTTTCTTAAATGGTAAGAATGGTTCACCATAGTGATTACGAGTTCCTTCAGGGTATATTATTAGATTTTTTTCCTATGGAAATGTGTTTTGTTAAAATAATACAAATTATAACATTGTTAAAATTAATTGATAACTCACTTTGTCCATAAATTTTTCTTTTAGTAAAGCCTTAGCTAAGTGTGGGTTATTTTTTCTGTCAATAAATGCCACATTGAACAACTTCATAGTTTGTCCAAGTGGAAAAACATATTGAATTTCTTTTTTCACAGCTGGAATATATTTGATTATAGGTCTAAATACCATTATAGATCCTAAAACAGAATTCACTTATATATGTTGGTATTGATGAATAGATATTATTCCTTATAAATATATAATAATTACCACGTTAACATCCCTTGATATTTATTTTGAGGCTATATCTTATCTTCAGGACCTTCAGTTATCATTTAATTGATGTATTATAAAAGCATTCAAACATATGTAAATATGATGATTTTCTCGTTATTTATAAATAAAACTATTGTATAAAAAAGTAAAAATATGTATAGACTGTTTTTGGAATGCAAAAATAGAGTAGAATAGAAAACATTTATTCTGTGACTAAGTCCCTCAAGAACCAAAATCATCTGTAGAAATAAATAATAAACATAAAATATAATCGGTCCGAAACTACATGATTTTTATTGTATTCATTTACCGATATTTACAACTTAAAAAATAAAATACAAGTAATCTGTTATAAGAATATAAAACATGATAGTAGCTAGTGAAGGAACTACCCATTGATAATACTTCAATGATTAGATTAATCTAGGAAGTCCCATGGCCATCTTCTTATCAGACGTCTGGGATGGTTGTCAGGAATTGGTTAGCATAAAAGGTTATGAACTAGAGAACTAGGCTAACCAAGGAGTTCAGAATTATATGAAAAATATTTATTTAAGGCAAAATATGGAAAAAAATTAAGGCCTTATGATTAATTTTATTTGTGTAATAATTAGAAGTATTGATAATTCTAGAGAGGATTTTGGATTGTAAGGATTGGGAATGGAGAGAATTTAATGAATTTGTTGAGCCCCAAAGCACATTCCATATGTCCAAATGGACTTAATAATGGTGGTGAATTTGAGTTTTTTTTTGTTTTTTTGTTGTAAAATAATGAAAATTTAGAGTGTTGGCTAGTAAATGTTGTAGTAATTGGAATCTATGAGCAATTTCTTGTCCTTTCAGTTTCCAAGTAAGACACTTGTCAAGATGGAGTCATAGGAAGCAGAATTTTGGAATAGGAATAACTGGAACATTATTAAAGGATACTGTAGGACTGGATGTATTGGGTTGGCAAATAAGTCCTTTAGGTTTTTCTGTTTATTTTTGTGTAACTATGATACACTTCTTATCTGATGAATTAATCCTTAAGGTGGATTGTTTATCCTGTTTGTAATATGTCAACAAGTATATCTGTTAACTCTAGCTTAGTATTATGTTTGCTATTGCACTGTGAATATGGAAGAAAATATCATTCATTATCGGCATATTTTGTTGCATTATTTTAAAAAAGGATAGTTTGCTGCAAAAGCTCATAAAAAAATTTACAGTGTTTACGGGGATGATGCCTTAACCAAACGTACCTGTCGAAATTGGTTTGCCAAATTTGATATCAATGATGCTCAATGGTCTGGTCAAAAACATGAAATTGAAACGAGCAATGTTAGGGCCATTGTTGGTCAAAATTCCACCCAATCAATGCAAGAGATTTATATGGTCCTAAATGTGTCGCACAAAAACATAGAAAACCATTTGCATAAGCTTGACTATGTTTCCAGGCTTAATGTTTGGGCCCCTCACTTTCGAACTGAAGTCAACTTGACAATATGCATTTCTGTTTGTGATTCACTACAGAAACGGCAACAAAACGACCCATTTTTGAAAAGGTTGGTAACAGGAGATGAAAAGTGGATATTTTATGATAATGTGGTCCATAGAAAATCTTGGAGACCTAGAAATGAGGCTCCTAGAAGAATGTCGAAACCCGGATTGTATCCAAAGAGGATAATGCTTTCCCTATGGTGGGATTTCAAGGGTGTTATTTTCTATGAGCTATTGTCACCAGGAAAAACAATTAATTCAACTATATACGGCTCACAATTAATAAAATTGGATCAATCAATTAAAAATAAACGCCATGAACTGGAAAATTGGAAGGGTCTTATGTTCCACAAGACAACGCTAGGCCCCACATCTCATTGGTCATTCGCAATAAATTATTGAGCCTTGGATGGAACCGTTTGCACCACTCTCTCTATTCATCAGGTCTAGCTTCAAGTGACTACCACTTATTCTAGTCTCTACAGAACTCCATGAATGAAAAGAAATTCCAAAAGGAAGAGGACATCAAAAACCACTTGGATCAGTTTTTTTAACAATTAACTCCAGACACTCTATGAACATGGAGTTAGTAGAAAGATGGGAAAAAGTCATTAAATAATGGTCAATATATTGTAGATTAAAATAAATTTTATATCTATAATACATTGAGTTTTATTTCACCCTGAAATACCGAAAGGATTTACTTGCTAATCCAATAGTAGGTTTTCAATAAATCGTAAATCGTAAATGTGATTTTCTGGGATTTAATTTTATTCTCAAATTTGAGACAATCTTGAATGGCTCCGATGTGTGATTAAAGTAATTATTAATCCAGTAAAGGGGAAGAAGGACCGAAAAATGATATTTTTTAATTTAATTTTTTTTTTATGAATATTTCAAAAACTATGAATTTTTTTTGCAAAGATTGTCCAGTATAATAATTAAGTACTTTAAAATCTCTATAAAAATGACCCTATACATTTTTTTATTATTATTTATTTTTTTGCCATGTGGGCTAAGGCGCTTGCAATAGGAAATCAAAAGCAATGCAGAGCATAGTTAGCACTTGGATGGGTGACCGCCCACACCAAGCAAAGCCACGCTACCCGAGATTCCTCCCCCCCTCCCAGGTATTTGCGGCATGTCAGCCTACTGAAGGCAACTCACACTGACCGGGCACAGGATTGATGAACCTATCCCGTACTTTAAATCGGGAATCGGGATGTGGCCTAGGAGACCACATCCCACGGTGAAAGATCGTCATGGTCTGTAGCACAAACAAAAAAAAAAAAAATGATTGTTTATCCGTTTTAAGCAAAAGTTGCTTCAAACCACAAAATTGATTTTGTTCAAATTTAGATTGACAAACTGGTAAAAAGTCCCAAAGAATCCCACGTCGGGTTTTTGATAAGGAGAGGGAAGGAAGAACAGAAAAATTATCTTTTTATAGTTTTTTGAGAATATCTCAAGAACTATTAGGTTTTTGTTGCAAAGATTGCTCAGTATAATATTAAAGTACTTTAAAATCTCTATAAAAATGATCCTATGCGTTTTTTAAATTTTATTTTTATAAAATCAATGGTTAAGGAGATATTTATGAGATCATATTTATTGTATAGAGGGGACTGGGGTAGCCATACTCTGACGTGCGATCAAAGTAATTATTCATCCAGTAAAGGGGAAGAAGGAGAATTTTTTTTTTTATTTTTGAGAATATCTCAAGAACTATGAGGTTTTTGTTGCAAAGATTGTTCAGTACAATATTAAAGTACTTTAAAATCTCTATAAAAATGAACCTATACACTTTTTTGATAAAATCAATGGTTACGGAGATATTTATGAGATTATATTCATTGTATTTCCACTTTAAGCAAAATTGCTTCAAACCACAAAATTGATGTTGTTATTAGTAGACGACACCTTTTTGAATTAATTTTTTAACATTATCGATTCTTCAAATTTTATTCAGTCTCTTTTTTTTTTTATTGATTCTAAAAAGTCATTGACAACAGAATTATATTCGATATCAGTCGATAGGGAATTTCGTGATAACGATATGAAGTTTGGATTGACATTAATTTTATGTAAATGATAATATGTGATAGAAGACCTATAAGTTTTAAAGGAACTTATAAAAATTTACCATAAACCATTGTCTAATTACATACAGAGAACCAGAAAATTTAAATTTTGAAATTTTTAAGCCAACCACGTTTTATATTGAATAAAAAGCAATGACTAAAAAAATGTTTAATTTAGGTTATAACAAATTCCTTTATAGTAAACTAGATTAAATTTACACCAAATACAAGTAAATCTTGTCTATTTTAAAACCATTTAAAGGGAACTTTTTAGCAGTTAAACTACAGTAAGTTTATAAAATCAAGGATTCTTCCTTTTTTTTACAAGGAAAAACTTCCTTGTTTGATGAGCTTTAAATCTATATTAATTATGTCATGGTTTGTTGCAGAGTAAGTTGAGATTCATCCCTAATTGTGTTAAAAGATGTAAATATATTGGGATCAATCCCTAATTTTACAGTACTAATAATATTTTTACTTAGAGAAAATGTAAAATCAACTTAATTAAAATAGATTTAAATATCAGTAAACAAGGAAGTTTTGCTGAATGTGTGGTATCTTCAGTCCAGTTGAGAGTTTATAACAAAAATCACGAACCATGATTTTATGTAAAACAGAACTTCCCATAGTTTAACTGCTTAAAAGTCCACTTTAAATAGTTTTAAAGAAGACAAGGTTAACTTGTATTTATTTTAGATTTAATCTAGTTTACTTTGAAGTCATTGGTTGTAACCTACATTAAACCTTTTTTTAGTTATTGTTTTTTATTCAACATAAAACCTAGTTGGCTTAAAAATGACAAAATTTAAGTTTTCTAATTCTCTGTATGTAATCAGACCATGGTTTATGGTAAATTTCAATAAGTTTTGATATTTTCTCCTTCTTCTTGGTTCTTCCCTCCAGATGGCTATGTTGGGAGGTAAAAATATAAAATTTGTGGTCCTCCAGACTTCCGAAAAGCTTGGTCCCAAGGTGTGTGGGTTGGAGCCATATCTGCCTCGGCATGTCCTCCAACAGCTGGCAGTTCTGCAGAATGTGCTCTGTGGTTTGCTCATTTTAGCCATATTCACACAGGAGACTGGGTCATATCTTGAGCTTCCTGAAGATGTGTGATTTCAAACAGTTATGTCCAGTTCTGAGGCAAAAAATGATGATCTGTTCTCTTCTGTTTAGCTTGAAATAACCTCATGGGGATTGTGATTTGGGTGACTTGCTTTCCATCTTTGCTTGTGGCTGCTTTGTTAATAGTTTTGTACTCCTCCAACCTAGGTAGGATGCTAATTTGGGAGAGCAATGTTCCTTCCTTGGCCAATCGGTCTGCGATTTCATTCCTCGCAAGCCCACAGTTCCCTGGAATCCATGGTGGAAACACTTCTTGTAACTGACTCTTAGATCTTACAGCTCCTCAGCCAATGTGCCCTTAATATATGATGTATTCTATCATATATTATTATTTATATAAAATTAATGTCAATCTAAACTTGACCAACATCAATTTTTTGGTTTGAAGCAATTTTAGCTTAAAGTGGATATACAATAAATATAATCTCATAAATATCTCCGAAATCATTGATTTTATAAAAAAAAAAAAAAAAAATGTATAGGATCATTTTTATAGAGATTTTAAAGGACTTTAATATTATACTGAACAATCTTTGCAAAAAACCTCATAGTTTTTGAGATATTCATAAAAAACTATAAAAATAATTTTTAGGTCTTTCTTCCACTTACCCCCATCAAATTCTTTGGGACTTTTTACCAGTTATTATGGGGAGGGTAACAAATAATTTCTGACAAATTTCATCTTTATCTTTATAAAGTTGGAGCGAATCCCTAATTTTACTAGACTATATCTTCCTGTATTGGGAGTGGGGTAGCTCAGTGGTAGGGCACTAAGCTTCCAATACTCAAGGTCCCAGATTTTAATCCCGGCTCATGGCAGAAAAATTATTTATTCTGTTTCATTGGCCGTGGGGTGACCCTGGGATAGGGAGATCCTCCTGGCGCATACCCAGCCTCTATAAAGTGGGTAACCTTAATTAAATAATTGTTTAAGGGGGAAAACCTGGTGGTTGAGCCTGATTCTGGTCCGATTCCCTCCCTGAACAACCACTGGCCTTGAAACAGTACATTCCCTAAATATTACTGAACCAAAGTACCCTTCATGGGTTGTAGTGTTTTTTTTTTTAAATCCTCCTGTATGCCAAAAATAGAAATAGAAATAAAAAAATGAAGGAATTGGATTAATAGGAAAAATGTAGGAGAGAGGAATTGATGCAACATGCATAACAGTCCATATATCATGATATGAAAGCAAGGAGGTGAAACATGTAGCTCATAAAAATCCATCAGGAATCCTCTACAAAACAATGGATGCCTTCATAGTTGTTAGGAGACTATGTGACTTGCCAAAAACCGGGTGGACAGATTGAAATAACAAAGATGTTGGAGGGATGAAAGCACAAAACTGGAAAGTAATAGCCACAGGCAGAGTTGGAGAAGCCTGTTATAGGCTACCAAAGATCTATAACGTCTGTTAAAAAATTAAAAAATATTTTTTGATATTACAATAATATTGTTGAAATTATATTTGGTTAATAGTATTGTAGAATCTCTCTTATATTTGACAAATAATAATAATATAATCTCCGAAGATCACTTTATACTGTTGAATACATCCAAATAAATAAAAGGTTATTAAATAATAAACAAAATTATTTGAGTATAAATACAGTATAAATTTAAATTTATAGTTGTTTTGTAATTCCAAACAACTAGCCTCCCTGTCAAACATAACTTCCAATATGATAATTTTATTACTGGGTTTTATCCACTGGAGCCAGGATTCCTTCTCCCATCATCTCTTCGTCCAAGCTAAACACCAACTGCTGGCCAAAACAAAATCTTTTGTCACATCCCCTCTTAGGGATTTTCCTTTTTGGGGAAACTACAGAGCAGTTATTATCTTTTCCCTGAACTATTAGAACTAGATTAGCTTGCCTTTTAACTGTTACTTTAATTTATCAAACTATTTTTAACAACTTTCAATTAAAGTGTACATTACATTTAATTATTAAAATTTCATATGGCACTAATTTTTAGTTGGATATATTTTTTCATTTTTCTTAATTATATTCCAATTAATTTAAAATCAAGTAATTCATGTAGGTGCGAGACTTTTTATAAAAAAATAAATTTTAAAAGGCTTGCTTCCCTTAAAATATGTAATATTTAATTAAGAGAATATAGTGGAAAATTGAATACATGAAACAAATTGTAAACTAATGAAAAAGAAAAAGGATCATAAAAAGCGTAGCTTTATTTTTATTGTATTGAGAGGAATAGACAGAAAGGCATGGGAAGCTCTAATTGAAGTTGAGTGAGGCCTTCAACAAAATACAGTCCAAATACAGACCGAAGGCAGAGGGGACACATGCATTTGAAGTTTAGAATTTGTTTAAAATAGAAATTTAAGTGATAAATTTGTTAATAATCTATTTCTGTTATGGTCTTATAGGTGAGGCAAGCCTCATAAGCCTCAAAAGGTAGAGCAAGGAATACTAATTTGTTAACAATGACATAATAATAAGAAATAATGTTTATTCACCTGCTATAAGGCTTATTTATTAATAGAATTTTATTTCAGAAATTAAATATTCTACAAATTAATTACCTAAAAAATCGAACATGGATTGATGGTTAATTACAATTACTGTATTTTTGTATTTTTCCAGAATACTTTGGTTTCTTATCTCCCATTCTATACCCAATACTTTAGAAAATAGTTCTGCCACAGTTTCTGGAATTCTAAAACAAGAAAATATTTTTATTGATAGTTGTAACTGTTATGTTCTATAACAATTTCAGGAAATTATGAAATTTAATCTGTCATTTTTCATTGTTTCCAACATTATTCAAAGCTCATTTATTTCAAACAGATATGAAATAACTAAAGATCATAAAAAATATATATTTAAACATAACATAGAATGAAAGAATAATAGACATTACCTATAAGCTTTGGAAGGTAGTAGAATTTGTAGTGGATAAAGAATAAGACAAGTTGTCAATGTTACAGTTACATAACTAGTATAACAAGAATAAAACCTTAATCGGCTGTGTCTAGGAAGAATTATTGGTAGAAAATACATAATGAAACATAGCAAAGCAATTGTAGTCAAATCCATCTCTGAAACAAACATCAAGTATAAAATTAAAATAACATACTCAAAGCTAAAATTACAAATACTTAGAAATGGGCTTAAAATATTCTTATAAAATAACTTTAAATTAGGGAAAAGAGAATGGAAAATAGAAAAATGTCTATTTTTTTTTATTTATATGTATATGTAGGTGGTCTTCCTGGACCAATAAAACTGGTGGAAGAATAAGAATCTTATGATAAACGTATAGACTAACGTAGCATATGAGTTACTGTCAAAGTAGGAAGAAAATTAAATTTAAAAAAAATCTAAAAATGATAATCTAAACTTCGGATCTCTATGTCACATAATTTTGTAGAAAATGTGGATAACTTGAACAATATAACTGACAAATAATGACAATAAAATATTTAGTTTCCTTTATTCTTTGTAGAACAGGAATAGAGTGTTATTTTTATAAAGAATGTAGAATATATAGAAGGAAACAGTTACAAAGTTTAATCTAGAATTAATTAATTAATGGATTGAGGAAGACCTCATAGCAGTTTATAAAATGAGGTAGGGAAGGATTTAATAAATGGGTTCAGTACTCTGTAAGGAAGTAATGTTTCATTACCAATGGTTGTGCTGGAAGGTTATCAGACCAGGATCACACTCAACTACCACATCTTACTAGATTACCCACTCTTATAGAGGCTAGATGTGCTCCAAAAGTGTCTCCCAATCAACTTCTGAAGGTGGTAAATAAAGATGAATTGGCCCCAACGCAGGAGGTGTCAATCTTGGACTAGATCAGGGGTCTCCAAACTTTTTGGCCAGCAGGACACATTGAGGCTTCCACTAAGTTCCACGATCCACAGCTTTTTCAATTAATGGTGCTTTAGGTATGAAATAAGTTTTCTATGAGAAACATCTAATCCAATTAATGTTGTAGTAATTTCATACTTGTTACATTTGCTAAATTTCATATTTTTAAAAAAACCTTCGTGGATCATATTGGAGGTGCTTGAGGGCCAGATTACCTCGCAGGCTGTAGTTTGGAGACCCCTGAACTAGATCATGGACAGGACACCAAACTATGGAGGAGTGAAGGACCTACTGGACCTCAAAACATATGCAGTGTTGATAGGGACCATGTTGAAGATGGTGATGTATGGCAAAGTGAAGTCAAAATGGAAACTGGAAGCTGAATCTGATGGTTTAAACCAGACGGAGACTTGTATCCTTGCACAGATGGTGACACTTCAACCTTCATTGTGAATGAGGTCAAAGGTTGCATCAGGAGGAGGAGGAGAAGCAACTCAGAAGAAGACAGTGGAAACTGTCTGTGATGGGGGAACTATACCACTAATGTCAACTGGAGATCTGGCACAAGTTCTTATTGCTCTACAAGAACAGGGCAATGGCCAATCCTGACATATATATCTGAGGGTAAGGAGGATCTAGATATTAATTCAAGAACCTTCCCTACTTGAAGGCAGTGTCATGTGATTGGACATTTTGTATTATGGAATAATTTCTGTTGCCACCAATCCCAAAGGCTGCCTAACATATAGAAAAAATTAAAACTTTTTCCACTTGGACATTTTTATTTTCTTCTTGAGGAGTTTATTATTAATTACAATCTTGAAATCCTTAACAGGGGTAAGAAACCAACCTTCTGTAACAGGATAAGATCAGAAGTCATAGATATCATGCTAGTCTCAATCTATAATGTACATTGAAAACATTATAAATTTATTAGATTTCATCTATCTGAAGCAGTATGTAAGATGAGGAGTATAGAAATCTCAAATTGACAAATTGGGAATCGTTCTACTTGGACTTAAAAGAAGCAATCAGATGCGGTCCAAAGATAGTTCAGAAAACCTGGCATCTGGAATGTCCTAACTCATATCTAACAGATGTTATCAGGAATTCTTACCTGAGTATCAATAGTACACATGTTAAAAGATCCAAAAGGAAAGTTCCATGGTGTAACAAAGATTTAGCTAGGCAAAGCATATTCACTAAAAGATTATTCAATGCTGACAAAAACTCTAGCAATTGAGATACCTATTAGAGAGCTCTTACAGAATATTGTCTATAACATAACAATACTTTCTATCAGAAGTGGCAAAAGACATGCTTGGAGGAAGTTTTGTGTAGAAGTAGATAACAAAAGCATTAAGCTACATAAAGAAAATATTCTTCAAGTAGTCCTTAACTGAGAAACAGATCCTGAGGGTGGTTACCAAAGGGTGACTGTTGCATAATGGAACATGCTTATACAAATCCCACATTACCAAATTGCAAAACTAATGAAGATATGTAGGACAAAGCAAACAGCATCCTGACGTCCAGTAGACTGAGCTGTCAATTATTTAACACAATACAAATCTGCATGGAATGACAGTTACTTTCCACCATTGCTATAAAGAAATCTTTCTGTAATCAAACCCTACCTCTTATAATAACCATGGGGCAGCATAGCAATTTAATACCTGCCCACTAGTTGGAGGGAGTTCAAATTGTGCTATATTATAAAACCAAGGAAGAGGACTAATGATGATTCTAATCCTTCAGAACTATATGCCTTTCATCCTTTCTGATGAAGTCACTGGAAACAATTTTAGATTGGGCGTATAAGAGAACAAATATTGGCTATAAACCCTATACATCCCAATCAACTCGCTTTTTGACCAGGTAAGTCCTGTTAATTAGTTTTATATAACTTGGTTTCTACGTATCATGAAGCGAAAGAAAAGAACTGGGTGGAGAAAAAACAAACAAACCTCTATCCTCAGCTGACTCTTCTTGGTACATCCAGCTTATCTGAATCTAGTTAAAGCTCAGAGGACCACAATCTGAAAGAAGCAAAGTGTATTGGCGATATCCACTTACCAATGCCCTTGAACGCTTATTCTCACAATAATATTTTGAACATCTGGTTCAATATGATGTCTTTCCTTCATTAAACAAAATATTACTAGATTGAAATTGAGAAAAGTATAAAACAACAACTGTTGAGTAAACAAAACAAAAATAACTAAAACAGAAATGAGTATTCTTCATGTTGACAATTGTTTAGTTAATAACACTGGACAACAAAAACCAAATTTTTGAATGTTTCCAGCACTTCATGAGTCAATTCTTACTAATTTTGGGTTGAGAAAAACAAATATGACAATGAGAAATTTTTCTTAGCTCTAATTTCTGTGATTAACACTTGGTGGAAGTATTTCATATTAACGGGTTAAGAGAAAAAAATACATTTTAATTATATATGCTAACAACATTGAAAGTGCATTTGATTTTTCAAAATGGTAGTTACATTCTAAGAGTTCTAAATGCTGGAAGAATACCTCGCAGCTCGTCGTGTCTGAAGAGATAATGTGGTGGCTTCATGAGACCGTCGCTTTTTAGCTTGCCTCTTGTATGGGAGGTCCAGAGCATCCCTACACAAAGACCAACAGTAATCCACAAGCATTGCTTCATTCCAATGGCTCTGATATCTTTGTTCCATTACAGAAATGTCCTGATGGAATCTTTCTTCATGTTCATCGCAAACAGCTCCACAACTAGGAGAGAAAACATCTGGGTGGAAGTGGAGAAAATAGATTTTAAGGGACATGTTGCATCCATAGTTATGGTACTTTAGCAGGAGCAGTCACCAAATGTGTTTAGTTGTCATCTCTTTTGTTGCCTAAAAATCCACGAACAACTCCCTGGAAGGCTTCAAAAGCTTCCTTTTCTTTCACTTCCAAAACTTGTTGAAATGCAGGATCCTTCACAAGTACTCATTTCATGTCATGTTGTCATTATTGCCCAGTGTAATTTATTAAAAATAAAGAATACTTATTATTTACTTTTTATGTGTACTAACAAATAAGAGAATCCCTAATGAACAAAAAAAAAAAGGATATTTTAATTAAAATGAATAAAATAAGGATCAAATAGAAATGTCCCTATTAATTTTTGAGCAGTATACTTCAAAGGGTTGAGGACAGGGTATTTGCTATGCACTCTGAGACTAAAGTCAAAGAATTCCTAGTAACGAGTTATTATGTCAAGTTTGACACTTCGAGGCAACATAAACCAAATAAATGTAGTAATAGCTACACAGATGGCTCACTAATGACTTTATCCTTATGATTCATGAGCCGGTACCTGGAGAAAAGACAGAACTAATTAAGAGATGTTAATTCCCCTCAGGAAATACACAACAGTATTTCAGTCAGAAATGGTAGGAATTTCTCACTGTGCTTCCACATTGATGCTAGGTGGGATGAAACAGAATAGGGTTCCTACTTACACTGATAGTCAGACAGCTATAAAAGCACTCAATAATTACTCAACGAGATAAAAGATTGTTAAAGATTGCAATGCAATCGTACACAGTATACTAGGTTAAAAACGGAGAGGTAAAGATATCGATAAAATAAAAAAATAAAAAAAAAGAAAATATCTGCTAATATCCATCATAAAATCTGAGGCAGCAGCAACACCTGTAATTTTTGGCTTTAAATTCAAATAGGAACAAAATAATGTTTTGATAGAAAGTATATTTAGTTAGACTGCTAAGAAATTAAAATTAACCAATTATATAAACAAATTACTTCATAAATACATATATAAGTTCATATTTCATTATTGTTTACATTATTTTTTTTTGTTTTTAAGAAAACTATTACTCAGAACAAGTGAAATCCTAAAGCAGTATTATTATGAAATCTATTTATTTTTTAACATTCTTTATTAGTAGTTATAAAAGGTTTGTTAGACAAAGTAAACTTTTTTTGGCAGAATAATTAAACAATTTTTAATTGTAATTATATTATGTTAGAAGTACATTTCTAAAAAAATAACCCAGTTTATATCAGCCTAATCAGTATTACTTTTTGATTAAACCTCTTCATCGATTCAATGTATGAAAAAAAATCTTAATCAACCCAATGATTTTCTATACTTTATATTAAATATGCCATGCTTCTCTAACTTAAGATAGTTGTCAACAATAATATAGACTAAACTTGATTGAGTAATTTGTATTTCATCTATGTAGAATTTGAATGGTTTTTTCATAGTTATTACATTTTTAAGAATATATTTTAAAAGATTGTTTTAATGTTTTCCTTATTGCATTACAAATAAGATTACATTTTATAAAAATCAATAAACTAAATAATAAAAGGGTTATTGATTGGTGAGGTAAGTTGATGTGATTCATAGAAGGATGTCCTAGCACTATTGATCTAAAAGACAGGGGAAGTACAATAAAGCTAAACAAATTATCATGTAAGACTTATCAGAGCTCTCATTCAGTGTTGGGACTGCATCATGTTAACATCTTCTGCTTCTCCAGGTCTATTTATTTATTTATTTATAAATTAAAAAAATCTAACAATAATAATAATATGTAATTATTCATCAGTTCAATTAATGATCTGATGTTTAAAAATCAATTAAACAATAGTTTTAAACCATCATTTATTGAATATTTTTTAAATTACATCTGTGATTTAGTTTAAATGAAATAATGACCCAATGAAATGTCACACTTCTTTATTTAATTTGTCGTACTTTTTTTGAGGAGACTACCAATAAATATTGTATTTTTCAGAAATTTTTTAACAGAAAGGTTTTATTAAAAACGATTTTATCAACCTTATTTGAAAAAAAGCTCTTTCGCCTCAACTTTAGATTAAAACTACATTTAAAATTAATACAATATTTCTTATTTTGAATATATTCCGTTGATTAATAATGAAAGTTAAATATGTTGAAATTGAGGATAAGTTACAAAAACCTTTTATGTTTACTGTGGAAGTTGGATGGAATGTGCTGTCATGTAAACTGCATTTCTTAATTAATTTTTCTACCATTTGTTCCAGTCTTCAATACCTTTGTTTGTACAGTTGTTCAATACCTACAATACTTTCTTCATTATTTATATTTTTAAACAATGTAATTCACTAGATAATTCGAATTTGAACATGAGTATAAATAGCTTAAAAATGGAATTGAAATAAGAATAATGAAAATATTTAGGCCAGTTTAATGTTTACCATTTATTTTTACATTGGTAATATTTTTGTTATCATGTCATCCTTAGGCATATTTTTTATATTGTATGTTAGAGCTTTGTGAATATGCATACATTGTTCAAGATGGCATTGTTGCAAGTATAGTATGGTGGAGGTGGGAAATGTATAACAAATATAAATTAAGGATAAAAGATTAAAGTTATAACCAAATAAAAATATTTTTAAAAAATTTACTGCTTAAAATTAAAATACAAAAGAATGGTAAAAAAGTTTATAGGAAACACTTGTTAATTACATTAACTAAAAACAATTTTTTTTGTTATTCCACACACCTCTTCATCAAAAGAAAAAAATGTATATTTCTTAGAAATATGTACTATTTTTTGTAGTGCTCCCTCTCATTTCTATTTATTAAATAATAAAATTATCAACTTGACATTTCTTAATCATTAATATAATAAATTTTCTATCAAATAGGCTCTGGAAATGGACTTCTAAATCAGATTTTTGAAATCTATTGAACATAAAAAAGAAAATTATCCATAATAACAGAAAATAAGTTGGTGAGCCAAATTTTTTATTACTTATGTAAATTTTGTTTTAAAATAGGAAAAAAAATTGTAAACATAATTGTAATTCCAGTATCTTTAAACTTCATGGGTTAGATAGAAGTCTTTGTACTTTAATAACATGCTCGAGTACGCCACTTTACTCAATTAATTACTTTTTATGAAAAAATTACACACTTTGTTTATTTTAAGTATATAAACGTAAAAATCATGGGTATACATTTTTTTGTGCCTTAGTAAAAACTTTAATAAGCTCTTTTCTCACCAAATTAAATGATCTGCTTTATTTCTTATGTATAAATTCATGTTATTCTACATTAATTAATATGACGAATCAGCATTTGTTTTTTATAATAACAATTTAATGATGTTTGTCATTGAATAAATTGCATTAATTTTCATAAATAATTTTATTCATTATGATGAGATATTAGAAGTTCTTTTATCAATATCCAAGGTAACTGATATCTGTAAACAAAGACGCTAAGAGCTATTTCTCTCTCTCATTCAGCTGGAAACAGAAGTAAGTGCACATCTGTTACCTTATGTTTAGTTAATTTTATTATATTTTTATTTTTTATTAATATAAATTTACAATTATTTGTTCAAGGCAGCAATTAAAAATAAATTATTGAATAAAAGTATTTATTTTACTATTATTGTTGATACTAGTAATTATATATATATATATATATATATATTATATATATATATATATATATATATATATATATATATATATATATATATATATAAACATTTTACTGTTAAAATGCCCTTATTATTTTTTCTGTAAAGAAAAGTAATTTTTTGTAAAATTATTTTTTTTTTATTTAGATAAGATTTAAATTTTTTTTCTTTTAAAGAGATAACAAAATAAATTATCTTTTTGGACAAATTAACTTTGTAAAACTGTTAACAAATTACTAACATTGAAAACAAAAGTTCTTATCACAGTTTTACCTTTTATTTTTGTAAAATGGATTAACTTTCTAATTTATGGTTAGTAAAAAAATAATAAAATAAAAAAATGGTAGGCTGTTAATACTTGTTAGTTTACATCCAAAAATGTTCTTTTTAAATATATATTTTAATATTTTAATTATGGGCACACAAAAAAAACAAAACAACATATATAAATAAATAAAATAAATTTAATTGTTCCAACTAATATGATTTGGAAATTTAATAATGAATGTTACTAGTAATTCAAACTTTTTAATCTTTTAATATGTTTTGAACAATTGAATTTCTACACAAGGGTTCTGTGTTAGGTGGACAAAAATGTGATAACAATTTTGTTATTGTTAAGATCGTATTTTCATGTTTATAATAGTGAGGGATGAATTTTTATAGTCACTTAAAACATGAGTTACAAACATTTACTGCTTATGAAAAATTTAAATTGAAGCTGAATTCTTCATAGTAGTGACTTATTGGTATTATGATGCCACAAACATGGGTTTATTGCTAATTGTGAATCAGTGTTTAAGGTTCTAAAGCTTTGTAAATATTGGCTCATGTAAATTTCCTTAATTTTATGCCTTTTGAATTATTTTTGAATTTCTTTATTAAATTAATTTTTTATAATTTATTCTAAGAATGGATGTGATTTAGTATTTTTTAAATATTAGTATTCAAATATTTTAGCTCAACTGATCATGAACAAAAAAAATATATAAGTTCATATTTACAGATATATTATTATTTTTAATTTACTTTTTTTATAGGTATATCATTTATTTATATTTAATAGTACCTTTATCACAATTATCTATTACTCTATAATGTGATATTTGTGAATAAATAAGTTTTAATTAGTTGTATATTATTATTAATCATTCTAATTGGAAATAACCAAGAGACAGTATTTATTTATTTTTTAAAATTTCTATTTCCTTTTATCTGTTTGTTCATATCTGAAATACAAAATTAACTTTGATTATGATTTCCATCAATAAATTACTTGAAATGAGTATAGATTGTCTTTCTCAAGTTCAAATTATAAAAAGCTTTATCTTCATTCTTCTTCTACTAAAAATTTGTGCAATTATGTTTTTTTTCTACCAAGTATAATAGAATGTACCAATCAACATCACATCTGATAATTATTCCAGGATAAGGGACATGTGTGGATATAAAAAAAATGTTTTAAAAAGTATAATAGAAAGAATAATATATCACCAATTTAAAAAAATGAAAAACAAACACATTTATTTGCTATGTTCAATGATTATGGTCAAACTATTTGGAGTACGCACCATTACAGTAATTTATTTTTAGAAACATCTGTCACAGATTTAATAATTTTTTTTCATTTCATATTTTATTATATTAATGAACATTAAAATACTACAGACCAATTATCAATTAAACTCCAAAAATGTACAAAATAATGTAGAGATTCTCTCAGAACTTCACCTGGTTCTCGATGTATCTATTTCCACATTGTTTTTGGAGGATTGATAACATACTAATTTATGAATTATAATATTTGCATCTTTTACTAATTTATAAAATATTAATTGTACTGATCAGTTTTTATTATTATTAGATATTAACAGAATTTCCTTTTAGTAATGGCATTCCTTGAAGACATGATGTGTTGTGGATATATCATACCAATCAGCTTAATTATTATAATTGGCCTACCATTGGTACCAAATAAAAAATTACGATACTACACATGTTATATTTGTTACATCTCAGTTACTTCATTGATATGCACTATGCTGTTACCTATAGTTCTACTCCGGCCACGGGATATTGTCAATTTGAAGTAAGTGTGTAAGTATAATTTGGATTTTATACATAACCTCGTTAAGTTTATTGATTTTAGCATATGTTCAAATCACAATCATATATTTTTACTGAAATAATATATGAAGAATCTCTTTTAACTGGAGTTTGTTTGATAGGTTTTGTTGATTATGATAGGTTTTTTCTCTTTCTCAACTGTATCTGATACTTTTGTCCGTAAATGGGCATAATCATAATAAATCAATATGATTCCAGTAATCATGATTATGTGATTATGATTGCAATGATTTTGATTATGTGATTATACGATTACAATTGTAATCAGGTAATTGTGTAAGATTTTTTGTATATTTATAGTCTTATAGAATCAAGTATAAAGTTGGTGAGGTCATGAAGTTTTATTTTCAGTAGTGATCATGTAATCATTGATTCCAATTTAGCCCATTCCTGCTTTTGTCACATGTACCAATTAATGTTATGTGGATTAGCGTAGCTAGGACAAATTGCACCCCTCTTCTTTTCATTTTTTGTTTTAAAAAAATTAAAACTAATTTATTATTAATGATAAATTTATTTTATCTCCCCTATCCTCCATAATCATTTGCTTTGCACTCTGGTTTTGTATCATGGTAGTATTTTATATGGATTTCTTCTCACTCTCTCAGCTGTATATTAAAGAAATGTGTATTTATAGACAATATTCTGCTCATGATAAATTAATACATACTAACACTTACTTAGTTTTTTAAAATTTGAAGTGATAGGATTATTAAAACTAGGTGTATACATAGGTCGAGTAATAAATAAAAAAAAAAGTGATGTTAATTTTAAAATAAAAACGGTACTACATCAATGATTGAGTTTTATACGGATCAGAAGTTAAAATAATTTAAAGAAAAATGTTAGCCCCACACAGTGGTGGAGTCAACACAGTGGTGGAGTCAGAGATTTCTGGATCTTCCAAGTGTGAGCTGAACCCCCTAAGAAAAAAGAAATCAGAAATCTAACAATGGAAGTAACCCTATCTGTTTACCCATTTTAGTGAGTAAATTGAGCCATCAAACGTAAAGATATTTTGCTTTAAAATTTGCTACATAACTTCAGTCTAAATCCATAATACCTTCATTGTGGATATACATAGTCCAGTAAAAACATCAATTTCGTGAAAAAACAATTTACAAAACTAAATTTGAAGAATTAAATAAAAAAAAAAATGATTAAAAACGTAATTCAAATCGGTATGTTGACAATGACCTAATTGAGTCGATCACATCGAGATTCAATATAAATTCATATTTTTATCAACATTAAGGAGATCAATAAAGGCTTTAAATACTACCTTTAGATATAACAATATTAGATTTTTATCTTTTAGTATTAAAGACATGACCCTTCAAATGTTTCAGTGACAATTAATTTTCAAATGTCATTCGAAATGTTATCTATCAGCAATTGTCGACTAGGTTCATGATTGATTAGCCCTAACGAAAGCAATTTTTTTTTTCCCATCATCCAGGAATTTATTCATTATACAAAATACAGTATATAAATACATATAAAGTATAGATATATATACAAAAATTTCTAACTTTCTATTATTGACCGAAGGAATTTTAAGGTAAGAGGGCAATACAACCTGTAAGGGTACTTTGCATCTTTGGCTTGAGCCATTTTATTATACCACAGCGCAACTTGTAGTGAGGTGCCACAATTCTTTCAGCCAAGAGACCTCGATCAAAGAGTCAAAGAGAAAGGAACCTTGTAGTGATGATATCCCGGGATGGTTTCTACACTTCCATCTGCTTACATTATATAATTATTACTTCCTCATCCATTTGATCGAAAAAAAAAGATGTTATTCATTGCAACTAGCTGATTATTCGTCTTTCATTCAAAATGATAATACTGTGCAAGGGTTACAGGGATCAGTGTAGCCGCGTGCTCTGTGACAAATTATCTTACCTCAAACCTCGTACATCCACGTACGCATGCAAATTCGTACTACTGTAGACACAATGTTATTTATTTATTATTTTTTAAAATGTAAAATTAGATCAGAGCTTTGCTTATTACCTCTATCCATATATTTTAAAGCCTTTTTACATTATTTTTATATAAGTTAGTGGGTCAAGAAGTAAAATGTGTTTAATTTAGAAATTTTCTATTAGAAAGTTTTCTAACAGAAACTATTAGAAAACTTTCTATAAAAATTAAAATGGCAACACTATTAAATTTTTATTTTTATTTTGCTTACTGTATTTCCGAAAATGGCTTCTCTCGAAGATTTTATTCTCCTACGAAAAATTACAGACTTTGAAATATATATATTGTTCATCCAATGAAAACGGCAGACATGGCAGACATTTTTTTTTGTTTATTATCAACGTTAATTTTCGAAAATAATATTTTAAAGACCGAAAACCAACTTAAGTGAAATAACATAATCATGTCTGCCACGGGCGGATCTACGGGGGGGGGGAGCGGCTTTGGGGCTGAAGCTCCCCCAAAATGGTAAAATATAAATATGTTTCATGCAAACAAATATTAAAAAATAATCTCTTAAAGTATTATTGTTCGTGTAATTACATTTAAAATGTCTTTAGGAATCACTTAAACACCATTTCATATAGGTAGATAGTTTCTTTCTTTTTTTCCAAAGTAATTATCGTAATTTTTATGAATAAAAAGCATTCGGGCTGAAGCCCTCCCCAAAATTAAATCCTGGATTCGCTAGTGATGTCTGTCAAACGTTCACAAGACGAAACAGAGGTACCTATACGTTTAAATTACACTATTCGTCTTAGGAAATAGATTCCAACTTCATTAATTCATTTGAATGTTATTTAATACAAAATATAAAAAAAGTACCTTTCCAACATAGTACTGAACCCAAGATCACTTATTGATTGTAATTGTACAGGTTTAATATCAAATATAAAAACAATAAATATTTTAAAAACTTAATTGTTGTTTCTCATAATCCTTTCTTCATTAGAGTATTCAGTGAAAAATAATAAAACTTAATGTTAAATATTTAGAATTTTTCAAGTGTGCAATAATTTCTGAAGGCAAACATCGCTGTTCAAACTAAGAGATTTATTTCTCACCTCTGGTTAACTTATGACGGACAATTGAAACTTGGTGTTTCTATACTTTATAATAGAACTAAAAAAATTAATTATAATAAGTAATCACTGAATGCAGAATTCTATGCTCTACAACTGTTATTTCGACAGTGTGTTAATAAATTAGAAATAATCAAGTTACAAAAAACCTCAAATTGTCTAAGAAACTTTTTCAATTTTTTTTTGTTTTAAAACGAACATATATTTATAAGGTAATTATACTTCGACAAACTGAAAATAACTTTGATTTTTTTTTCTCAATTAATTTGATGTGAAGGTTTATTGTTACTTCCACTCACTTATTATTAACATTGAATATTTATGTCCATCTTTTATTTTTCCACGAGCGATCATCTTTGTTCATAAAAAAAACAAGGTCGATGGCGTAACAACCTACACATGCTGCTGTCTGTTCCATGTTTTCCCATTCCAAATTTTTCATTCCGAAAATTCATGATCCCGTTAAAATATCCATCAAAATATGCCTCCCTCAAAACTTTGCGCCATAAAACCCCCTTCTGGACACCCCTGCAAGTATCTTAAGTAAGGAAGTTTATTCAACATTAAAGAAAACATATTGCATAGATAGAAATGATATTAAAAATAAAACTGTTGAGTTATTGACAAGATAAAAGTCTTATTTAAGATATTTCGAACAATTTTAAATGTATCATACAAGATATCACAATAATCACTTGAGTTTAACAGTTGAGTCGTCAAACAACCCCTCTCATCTTTTCAAGTAGATTCCAACTTTTTTTTTTAAGAGGATAAATTATTTCATCTTCAAAACTTCCTTACGTTCAGAAAGAATTTTAATAGGCCTAAACTTATTACTTTCACTTATCTATGTATGAAAAAAAAGTGAAGAAAAGCATTGCGATCGTGAAAGTTTTCGAATCGGTGTTTTCAACTGAAATACACGTTTTGAGGTCACTTTTCTCGATAACGGTTCTTCCTCTAAAGTATCTTTAAATTGTTTTATTTTAAATAATTAACTGTCTCTCAATATTAGTAGTAATAAAAAGGCCTCAACTATGAAAGAACTTGATAGTTGATCAAATGAGAAAAAAAGGGTAAATGTTTTTGTTAGGCTGAAAATAAATTTTCGGAAATAACAGGCAATGTATACGTACAACATATCGTTGGAAAGCTGAGAATTTTTTGAAAAAAAAAAATTTATCATACAAAGTCATAGAAGATAATTTAAAAATCATAAACAACAATTTAAAAAAATAAAATTATTTAATTAAAATTAAATGTTCTCATGGATACTAAATTAAATTCCCTAACTAAATCTATTTTTTTTTTTTTTAAGTTTGAAATAAAATAATATATATACCACAGATTCGAAACAATGGGATTGTTAAAGAAAACATTTTATTGCACTTGTATTAAAGAAGAAGTTGATGTAAAAATATTACATACATAAATAAAACATACGTTTATTACCTTAAATATAGAGTAGGGTAGGAATTTTAGGACCATAAATTGCAGGATTACATTCAACCTTAGATATATTTACTTAAGTTCAATAATTTTAGATCATATAATATATTTAAATAGTTAGGTATACATCGTCGATTTATTAAAAAAATCATCAAGTAACATAGAAAATTAAACTAGTGAATATTTTGATGAATTACCCCTGTGTGAAATAGCAACACTATACACTTTCAGTTAGTGTGACGACTTTTGATCTGTTGATGCTGTATTTAAAAGCTCGTAACAGTATTTTGGTAAATTTTCTAAAGATAAACAATAACAATTTAAATAAATGTAAAAAGTGATATAGATTTAATTCCTATAATTTTTAATACACAGTACGATCCTTACATATTCATAATTAAATATATAGCTAATGTTAGTGCAAAAGATTGTAAGGAAACCTTTA